CTCGAGTACTCTCTCTCCCCCTCTCTTTTTCCTCCTCCCCCAAACAACCACCCCAATGGCCTCTGCATAGGGGTGTCGCTCGCTGGGGGCAAGGTGGCTGGGGTTTTCCCTCCTCAGCCGCTGACAGACAGCCGTTTCCACGATAGTCGTAGACAGTGTTTATTGTTTGTGCCCGGCTTCGCAAATTTTAATGAACGTTATCTTCTCTTTGTTTCAGAAGTCGTGAGGTCGTACCGCAGTGTGGGGATCTCACAGGTCTTCTCGCATCTGCCTCAGAAAGGTGATTTAAAGTACTTCATTAACTGGCTCTAGCATTCCCCTCTTCCCTTGTCCTCGGATATTATATCTTTTCGTATTTTCGAATTCACAGACATGACCCGCGAATCTCCCGTGGACAGTCCTTTGGTGGCAAGACGTAACGACCTCCACAACATGAATGAAAGCTTTCATCTCGACCCTGGACTTCATGCTGAAGATATCCAGCAGCAGATTCTCAAGGTGAGAGAGTGTCCCAAAACTTACTCTCGGAGAGCATCGAACAGCCCAAAGGCTGCATCAGTTTAAGGGAGTGCTGTCGGGAAGCAGGCAGCAAACCGAACAGCTAATTTCACCCGATTGTCACTCTAATGTTTACATTATGCGGCATCACATTTTATTTATTTTGAGGTAGCACAATTTTCGGGACTGAAGAAAGTTCACTAATGTAACAAGTGTAGAGTGAAAATCGGGTGAAATCGGGCTTTGCTGGCTGCGTGCTTTCCGACAGTAGTACTCCCTTAATCTGATGCAGCCCGGCTTGTCTTGACACTCCGCTGTGTAACATTGTTCCCAGCTGAAGAAACATCAACAGCTGCAGCAGCAGATATTGCTCCAGCACTACCAGCAGCAACAGCAATGCCTTGCCGAGCAGCACGAACAACAACTACGCCATCATCTTAAGGTGAGTCCGCTGCACCCTTCAGTGGGTCTCATAAATTACTTTTTCATATTTGTTGATTTGCCCGACTTTTGCTACTAAATGTTTTCATTTTCATTCTCAGCAATGGGAACAACAAAAACAACTGGAGGAGCAAAGAGAAAGACGGGAAAAGGAGCGTCTAGAAGCTCTACGCAAGAAAGATAAACATGAACAGAGTGCTGTTGCATCCTCAGGTGTTAAAGAAAAGCTCCAGGTATTGTTTTGATTTTTATAAAGAAGTGAGGTACTTGCCAGTCATTCTCATTCAAGTTGCTTAATTTATTTTCAATGTTAGTTTAACATGTTTGCACTACTTACAATTACTTCTTGACAGGTGTTCCTTCTCAACAAAAAGCAGCGTGAAGCTATGGCTAATGGATCTTCTCCTGGTCACCAAATTTCACCATCTACATCAGCCACATCATTGGCTCAGCAAAGTCAACAGTCGCCCAGTATTGGTGGCCAGCCCTTCCGCAACTGGTATGCAGTACTTGTAATTGATAATCTTTTTTTGCATATAGCTTGTTAACATTTTAGGTAATATTCTCTTGGTCTCTATTGTTTCAGGAGCGTCTTGCAGCCCCCGGCTCCTGGAGATACTGGAAACCTGAATGCTGGGGCTGGACCAAATGCTGTGCACCCCTATCGTCTCAATCCTCTAGTTGCTAAATATGAAGAAGACTTCCCTCTTCGAAAAACAGGTGAGCTGTTTGAAATGAATGACATTAAGCATTTTGAAGGAATGTTTTAAAACTGTTTCTTTAACAATCATGCATGAGATTATAAAATTCTGTAACAATCAAGTGTGAAAACTACGTATTTATTTGCTTTTGTGATGCGTAACTCAAAGCAATATTACTTTAATGTGAAGTCAGACTTTGGAATTTTCTTTTCACAGAGTGTACTATTAAGTTTTAAGTGTGTGTTTGTGAATAACTAATTTTCTTGATGGGCATGCAAGGTGCATAAATGAAAGAAGTTTTTCAAAAACATACCTAAAAGTACAACAAGCCAAATTAATTTATCTACCTATCTTGTTCCTTGGCCATTCCATTGCTCAAAAGTAGTAACTACTGACATTGTTTTTCTTTGAATTTCCGGGATAAGTTCTTGAAATTCCGTAGGGTGAACTATTGAATTCTATACAGCCTATCAAAATTGTATTCTCGGGTAGAATATTTTTTTATGATAATCAATTTTATTTGCTGCTGCTTGGCTTTCCTTTTTTCTATAAAGTTTAATCGCTATTTTTCGTATTGTTTTTCATACCTTGCTCACTTTGTAACAAAGATTGAGCTCTGGATACTTTAAAAGATTTTTAAAAAGTTTGCTACATCTTAACAAATTGGCATTGTTTTCAAGCAGTTCTTACCCCTTACCTAATACATACATGGAATTGCTGTTTGTACACACGGCAATATCCTGGGATAGCTATAGTGAAGTGTTGTACTTCGCTGTTTTCAAACTTCTTTCTCGGTAACGATTCTTCAATATTTGAACCTTGCATCTCCCATGAAGAATGCATTTTGTATTTTTTTTTAAATGAACTTTGCATTATTTAGTAGCTTGACATACTAACACATTGTATTGCGCTCTTCCCTCCTCCTTTTCCTCATCCCAATCTCTTCTATAACCCAACAATCCCAGCCTCTGAACCTAATCTTCTCAAGGTACGCCTGAAACAAAGAGTGATCGACCGCCGTGCAAACCCTTTGGCAGGGAGAAAAGATCGTCTTCAGAGAGTTATGAAGAGGAGGTCACATCTTGCAAGTATGGAAGAAAGATTTATTTTTCACATTTAAATCTTTTATTTAGATTATTGTTAACGGATAACATGCCCTTCTCTGCTATGGGAACGAAAATCCTAAAATTTTACAATATGACACAATTACTAATTATTAGAAATTTTCTTCATTAAATACAGCTTGTTTTTCAATTTCATTGATCAGATCTTCTTACCTTATTGTTTTCTTTTTGCAGTGGATATTAGTAGTAGTAATCCTGATTCTGGGCCAAATTCTCCACCTGGCTCATGTAACCGCCAAGCTTCACCCTCTGCTGGTGGACGAAATACACCTATTCAAGAGGTACACAAAATCTTTTCACACTATTTGCTTGACGTCATTGTTGGATGCTGTGTTAATAAAACAAAAAATTACCAACTTTATCCTTACTTTAGGAAGGAGAAAATTTGACATATGGTCAGTTGAGTAACAGCAGTGAGCAGGGTAGCATAAGCGATCTCTCGTTATACAGCAGTCCATCCATGCCAAATATTTCCCTTGGACGTCCACCAGCTCCATCTAGTTCAAGGGTGAGAGCAATATGCTGAAGAATTCAGGATTGTTCTGATGGAGAGTTTTGTGGATCCAATCCTTTAATATTAATTTATTTAATTTTACTTTAGGAGGGAGGTAAACTTGCCCCTGTGTCTGAAGCTGAAGTACGTGCAGCATTTACAGCTCGATTAGGTATGCCTCTGACTGGCCAAATGATGCCGGGTACTCTTCCTTTCTACCCTACCCTCCCTGGTTAGTATTTTGTCATGAAGGTTCATTACTTTAAATAATTAATTCAGCTTGTAAATCTATATTTATTGTATTATTATATATATTATATTATGTGTATTATTATCACTTTTTTTAGTTCTAGAAGCAGAATATTCCAATCCTACATCGCCAGGATACATCCATAAACAGATGCAGAGTCTTGAACAGGCTCATGGGCCAGTGACTGTGGGCGCAGGCGCCCCAGTTATACCTGCTCCATATCACCCTCCAATTACTGATTCTCAGGTTTGTTTTTTTAATTTTCTTTTTCTGTTTTCCTGTTTCCTTTTTAACAATGTGTTAACAATTTTTTTTTCTGTAGGTTGCACATGCACGTCTTAACAAACAGGGCCACCGTCCGCTGGGACGCACACAATCTGCCCCCTTACCATTGGGTCACCCTATGCTCACTGGAAGTGGACTCACTGTTGTTCCTCATCATGGAAATTATGAAGATTACTTGCTACAGGAGAAACAACAAACTTTACAACACAATCTTTTAAAGCAGGTTTGTTCTAGTCAGACAATTTTCATTTCTTTTTCTCCTTACTTTTTGTTTTATACAAAAGTATTTTGTTTTTTGTAGCAAATTCGTCAGACTGTACTGACTCGTGCAAACAGCCGTGGGCTTTCAACAAGTAGTAGTGGTGGACAATTGGATGAGACTGATGAAAATGCTGAGGTTATTGATCTGACTGAACGCAGAAGTGAAGATCATGAGTTAACTAAACAACAACGAGAATTTCTTCAGCAGCAAAGAGATTTAAGGATGAGACATACTTTGCAGATTAGTGAAGGTGCAAATTTTACCCAATTTTATTACAAATTTTTCAAATATTACTATTTTTTATAGTTACACTAATTTTTCATAGGCTCTGCATTTACTCCCCGCTCCCACGTTGCGCGACCACTATCTCGCGCCCTCTCAAGCCCATTGGTAGCATTAGGGACCACTGACGGAGCTGGAAGCATTCCACTTGGGGTGTCTAGTGCGGGCACTGCACCAAAAGTTTCCAGGTTTGTAAATGTAAGCCTAAGCATTTTTAAGTTAACAGAGTTCTTTCTTCTAGTTGTTTCATGTTTTTTTGTTTTTCTTGATTTTGTGTTAGCAGTGGTGTGCATCGGCTTACAACGGGACTAGCATATGATAACACAATGCTGAAACATGCTTGTACATGTGGAGATAACTCATCACATCCTGAACATAGTGGGAGACTTCACAGTGTATGGGCTCGACTGTTGGAGACTGGTTTAGTACAGCGCTGTGATAGAGTGAGAGCAAGAAAAGCATCACTTGAGGAATTGAAAGTTTGTCACAGTGAGGCTCATGCACTTTTATTTGGTGAGTTCGAAAGTTTCTATTTGTTTGGATTATCTTGCTTCTGTTCTTCATTAATTCTAATTGTGTGTAAAAAAATACTATTTCAGGTACAAATCCTTTGAATCGACAAAAATTAGATATGAACAAGCTTGCTCAGCTTCCTATTAAGTGTTTTGTACGCTTGCCCTGTGGTGGTGTGGGGGTTGACTCAGATACAACTTGGAACGAGCTGCACACAGCACCAGCTGCACGCATGGCAGCTGGTTGTGTAATTGATCTTGCCTATAAGAGTAAGAAACTTTTAATGTTTGCACATAGTGCTCTAATAGCTGTAAAAGATGTGCTCGTCATCTCTCATGTCTAATATTTTCTGTTTCCTCTAAGCTGCTACTGGAGATATTAAAAATGGGTTTGCAGTTGTCAGACCTCCTGGCCACCATGCAGAACCTTCACAAGCCATGGGATTTTGTTTCTTCAATTCTGTAGCTGTTGCTGCTAAATTAGTGCAACAGAATCTGAATGTTCCACGTATCCTTATTGTAGATTGGGTAAGTACTTTAAAATTTTAGATTAACTTTTTAAGCTGGCTCCTACTTTTGGAAACTATTGAATGTTTTCAAAATTTGTCAGGATGTACACCATGGCAATGGAACCCAGCAAATGTTCTACGACGATCCAAGGATCCTATATCTATCTATCCACCGTCATGACGACGGTAACTTCTTTCCTGGAACTGGGGGTCCTACAGAGGTAAATTACCTCTACAAATTTCAGTTTGTGAATTTTCAAATTAATTGATATTATTGTGAAATATATTTTACTTTTTTCTCCTATTTAGTGTGGAGAGGGTAAGGGCCTGGGTTTCAATATAAATGTAGCTTGGTCAGGAGGTGTAAATCCTCCTATGGGAGACGCTGAATATCTGGCAGCATTCCGCACTATTGTGATGCCCATAGCAAAGGTATTTTTAAGAAGTCAACTTTGTCACTTTACATATTGGCCAAATAACTGGCATACTTATGTATTTATTTCAAATCTGCATATTTATTTATTGTTCTTATTATGTTTTAGGAGTATGCTCCTGATTTGATACTTGTATCAGCTGGTTTTGATGCAGCAATTGGCCATGCACCTCCACTTGGTGGCTACAAGGTGTCTCCAGCTTGTTTTGGATACATGACACACCAATTACTTCCATTAGCAGACGGAAAGGTAAACATACATTCTTCTATTCTATTCTTAATTCTTATCTCATATTCGTGCTGCTTATACAAACATGTTTTCTGATTTCCTCAGGTTGTTTTAGCTCTGGAGGGAGGATATGATTTACCGGCTATCTGTGACTCTGCTCAAGAATGTGTTCGTGCTCTATTGGGAGATGATACTATGCCCGTTCGAGAGGACGAACTCCGGCGCGAGCCATGTCAAAATGCAATTGATACACTTCAGAAGACAATTGCTATTCAGCAACAACATTGGCCGTGCTTAAAACGCCTGGCACACACTGTCTCATGTTCGGCATTAGAGGCTTCACAAAAGGAGAGGGATGAAACAGAGACAGTTACCGCTATGGCTAGCTTATCAATGCAACATCAGGCCAACAATATGCAGTATGTTTTGCAATTGCTCTAAAAGATCTGCTTTATTTTGTTATATTTAGGTGCTGGAAGATTCTTATTCTAAATATTCTTTACTTTCAGATCTCCTGAGCATTCCCGTGAGCCATCAGAGGAACCAATGGAGCAAGATGAAGTAAAATGAAGAACTAAAGGATTTAGAAAATGAACAACTGTGACATCATTTCACTTCCTTTTGCACTATATTATTGAAAGTTGTAGACTTTTGGAAGATTCTCTGAGGCTCCTGCTATATTATGACGATAGTGTGAGGAATAGTCTAGATGTATTACTCCAAATCATTCCTATAAAATGAAATGATAGTTATATTCATGCTCTTAAAATGCTAAGAGGAAACCTTTTCTTCACTTTTAAAAAATTGGGATCTCTATTGTAACATTGTTCTTTTGGCTTTTATTCTAGGGGTTGTACAGTTTGTCTGTTCTTACTTCCATTGCTCAAAAAGGAACGGTTTATTGTTATTACATATTATAAACCATACTTACACCAAAAAAGTAACTTTGGAAGTTTAACTTGTGATACACTTGTGACATGAAACTAAATTGGTGTTAATGTAAAGAAAGGCGTACTACAAGTTGCTCTTTTAGTGTCATATGTGCTCTTCCACCTACTCTTACCTTATGTTATTCCCACCTAAAATACCGTATTTCTTATTTGAATTAAGGGAAGCCTATACATACCTCTAAGTTGTGAATTTACTTTATTTTCTAAATGGCATATAATTGGACTGTAGTTGAGTGATGCTTTTGCTTAAATGGTCTTATAATGCAAAAGATTTTTTGGAGGTGAACAGTTTTCTACTTCTTTCCTGTTCAAAATTAATCTTTCTTATGCGGATGCCTTGCCTTTGGCAGAGTGGCAGATATTTATTGTAGCAAATCTTAATACCTTTGTGGGTTTCTGGTCAGCAGCAGGATGGAGGAGACTACAAAGATATATTGTGTACACTCCTGAATGTATTAGACATTATTTATTATGTTGCCATGATACCTGTTGTCGTTTTGTGAAATGTTAGTTCTCCGTCTTTTTGTTGTAGTGAGGTTACAGCAAAGTATAAAGCAGCTACTTTTGTTCATAATTTCTTAAGTGCACTTTGTGATTTTTAAAAACAATTATTAAGGTTAAACTCACTTGCATCAGTTATTGATTTGACATTTCATAGGCCTAGTACACTGAAGAATGTGATATTCTAAATTAGTTTGGTGTTTCTCAGTTGCAACACAAGTAAAAGTTTTACTTTGTAATGGTAAATGGTTTGTAAAAACAAACAAAAAAAAAACACAAAAAAGATAATTAAGCAAGCTTTGTTATTATGCTGTGACCCAATAGGTGCCATTTTCATTCTTTTAAAAGAACATAGTCTGCAATTTTAATCCTTCTATTACTGGATTGTTTTTGTATTTGCTCAAAGCTAGCAAATTTTTTTTCAGCTAACTGTTTGAGAATGCTAGAGTACTTTTTTTTCTAAGGAAAAGAAAATATTGTTACTGTGTTATCAATTGAATGTTCAAGTATCATTCCCTTTAAGTTTAATTTCAAGCCCAGAGGCGAACACTTGATGATGCATAGCCAGTCCTGCAAAGTGTGAATCCAATCAAGACGAAGAGGATAAGTCGGATCTTGTATGTGTGGTGGAGTCTTCTATTGGACCAATCTCTTGCAAGTGTGTTGGGTATTCATTATTTAGTAATTTGTAAAAGTTCATTATGATTTCTGTCTTTTAACTTTTAAGTTCCAACTATTTGTGTATATTGTGTAAACTTCAAAATGTGCCTATTGTTTTATTGTATGTTTTCATAAATTCTAAAAGACATGTTAAATGGTGACCATTTGTAGTATTGTTAGAAATATTCTATATTATATGATATAGTCCTTTATGATCATGTAGTCTTTACTTTGAAGTGCTGGTCACTCTTGAACTACTTAGTGAGGTATAACGAACTAACTGTAGTAGTTTTTATTTGTTTCTCTTTATTACCTTTGTTGTCTATATTTGTTAAGTTGATTGACATCATAATTTCATTTTTAAATACTAGATCCAGGATGATCCTGTTATGATGTTTTCATTTTGAAGAGTTACATAACTTACCCATGAATTGCTCTCATATTCACAGGTTTTACACACACACTCTTCACTTCTTCAATGCACCATCAACATCTCATTCCTTTGTAAGTCTTTTCATTCATTTTCACTCTCAGCCATACTAGAAGATTCATGTAGGAACATATTCACTTTAGCTTGAAATATTTCCATAAAGGTTCTGATTTTGTGAGAATGAAAAAAAAAAATAGATCTAATGATGACCTGTGGAAATTAATCTCATTTGTTTCTTTTACTCCTATTACTTTCCAAAGTGTGTGCATGTAAGTTAGCTTTCATAATTTGAAGCATCTTTATTATGAAAGAAATCTATATGCAGTTTTTGTGATATGCATGTAAGTATGTGAATGGCAAGAATGTAATTAAAGAGGCATTTATTTTTATGTGAAGCATTTCGTGTATTTGTTGCAATGTGGAGTTGTAACCAAAATGAAGTAAAATTAGAACTATTTTTAACAACTTTCATTGTTCCATGTCCTATCTCTTATAGAGATGTAATCATGTGAACAAGGCGGATACCGGCTGATCAAAAAAGTTTAAAAAAAAAATCAAAACATCTGCACATCAAGAAATTCCTTGTAAAAATTACATAAATATCCAATTAAACAGCTGACATCAAGCTTAGCCCTAGTTGAATTTGCTGGATAGGGTTAGTAGAAAGAAAAAACATTCTTCTACACTAAACCATGATCTTATGGAATTTCTAGGTGATGATCAATAAGATACCGATCTACTGCTCAGCCAAACTTGAAACCATGAATATCAAGTTACATTTAGATGAAAGCAGGTGTAGCTTTAAGGTTTACATCCAATATTGTCCAAAAATATAGAGACTTTGGGTTTGAGTTTTTTATTTAAGAGGGCACTTTTATTTCAGAATACATAAATGGATACAGACATGATGGAAAGGATTCAACCTAATGACAAGGCCAATTTTTGTTTTACAAATACATACCAGGGTCTCTGGTTTACACTAAAGGTGACTTTTATCTCTACAGCATACCGTGCAAAGGTAAGGGCACATGTAAAACGCAAACAGGTATCAGGTACTTGAGTTTTAATACAAGAAAATTTATAATACACACATGTTTGATTGAACACACCACGCTGATGAGAACTTGATCTAGCTCTTACAAGAATGCTACTTCGAAATTAAAAATGATCCCAGCAAATGTCTTAGGTTTGACAAGAATCATTTAAAAAAGAGGACTTCACAATCTTCTGCCGCCCATCCACGACCCTACCTACCGCTAAATTTGAATTCAGAACTTTTTGTTGAACATAACTAACACCTGGTGTTTGCACTATATGGCACATTTCAGAGCAGCAGAGACAAGACAGCTCATATCACATTGATTGAAGAGTACAAAATAATAATCTATTCTAAAAGAAATTAAACAATACAGAGGTCTAAGTACACATCACTACACTATAATGCAAAACTTAAAGTAATTATGACAATCTTGTATCCCACAAAGTCTTTTTATGAAGTTAAACTTTTCCTTTTTTGGTAACTTGTGGCTATTAATATGGACAAACATCTCAAAAAAATTTGTAAAAAAACCTGTTTTTACTCAAAAGAACATATTTTCACAAAAATACTGTAGTCTACCACAGCCTTGTTTATGGATGGGCTATTATTAGTCAGTCAAACAGAAAAATGAGGAGCTTCAAGAATATTACTTTATGACTTAGCTAACACCTAACTTAACAAGACCAAGGAAAGAATGGCCAGGTCTCATAATAAGCCTACGGTGTTTCTCACGCTGTTGTACATGTATACGGTCTCCAGCTTGCAAAGTGTGAACAGTTGCAGTATAACAGCTTATTTCTGAAGTTGATTTGTCTGCAACTGTGGTGCTGCTACAGAATGCCAGAGTTGTTGGACTGTCAGAATCCTTCGGAAGTAATTTTATGGTGAAACTATTCAAAGCATGTGAAGTAAGATAATACACCTGGAAGTAATAAACACACATGAAACTAAAATAATGCTAGAGGGAATTTGAAAAATGAAAATTCCATGAAACCAACCTGAGCATAAATGAAGTATAAGCCCGAAGATTTTATTTCAATGCTCTGCCCATCCTCTCTTAATTGAAAAGAAGATGACAATTTGCTATCTGCCACAGCCTTGGAATCTACAAACCAAGGACCAACATGGCCTGCACCCATTCAGAACACGGGGAAAAAAATAAGAATATGTATAGACCATTGTTTACTTCTTAAATAAACAAGCAAACATGAATTTATTTAATTACTAACCAGATTCCACAACAGTTTCTGGATGAGCACCTTTAAGATGAATGGCCTGGAAATCTTAGGAAAAACACAGAAATATTTATTTACATATGAATCAACAATTCTGAAAGTACCATTGTGAAATCTGAAACATTAGACAGCAGCCCAAGTTTGAAAAACAGTCCAGAAGAGAAGCACAAACACCTATTTCAATTAGGTTAGTGAAAATCAAATCAAAGGCTAGACGTTTCTAAAATGTGAAATTGTCAACAATATATTGAAAATAGATTTTCTTTCCAAATAATAACAAAAGTTAGCCAACCATTACTAAAGACTAAATTAGGTCACAGGCAAAACTAAACCAATATGCCTACCACTAAAATTGGTGTTATTGGCTCTGAGACACTTCTGACACTGACATAAGCGTTGTGCCTGCTGAATTTTATTCCTCCTATGAGTACGAAACTGTTTACTGTTTCTTCCTGAACCACTGGCTTTTATTTTTCTTCCAGATGGTTTCAAATTCTTGAAATCCTTTGCTTCTGTTTAATTTAAATCAAAATGAATCTTGACTGTTAAGAAAATACTACATAGATAAGACAAGAATATTTCAAACCTTCAGATGTATCTCGTTTCTTTCTCGAGAATGTGCTAACTTCATTCAAAGTCATAAGAGAGGTGGTTTCCAATCGACTTTCGCTTTTGATCTCGTGCTTTGTCCCATCTATAGGACGCGGATCAGTAGCTTCTGCTAAATTTTTAAGAGACAATACTTCTTGGTTCAAATTATTGATCTACAAATAAAACAGAAGAGACAAAGAGTTATTCAATCAGAGTTAAAAATGTCTTCTTCCTTAAATTCTTGCAGCTTACCTTAAATTTTAAACTTTCCATCTCAACCTGCTGACTCTCTATTTGATATCTTAGAGTGTTAAGAACAAATAGAAGAATGAGGAGCATTGAAAGCCATGATAGTATAAAAATTGGTATAATAAATCTTCTCACTGCACGACTACTTTTCAGATGAATTTCTGAAATAAAAAGGGCAATAAAAACAATAAGAGATCAATGTTGTTGTCAATATTGTCAATCATTGGAATTCTTTGACTCACACTAAAAACGTACCTATTGAGTTTTCAATCTCATAAAACTGTTTATTCTGTTTTACTGAGCACGAAGCATTCCCAATACTTGGACCAGGTACCACATTGGCTTTCTCTGAGATTTTCTGATACAATGGTATTTTCATTTTGAAATGTATCCAGTTTAAGAAAACAACACTCTTTAGAGACCCCGAAACCCCTAAAAAAGTTTACATCAGATAAAAAGCTAAAAACAAAATAATTACTCCACACATATAAACTCGGATAACTAGAATATTACCACCTTACCACCTTGTCAGCTTACCAGTTAGGAAAAGACAGTTAGCATCACTGAATCTAAAACAAAAAGTGACAGTGGTTAACACTTTTCTGAACTTATTTTAAAAAGGTAACTTACAGTATATCTTTTAAGTTCTTACTGAAAAAGGTGGGATTTGATGCAGTACTATTAATCCTGCCATTTTTCTTGGGATGTTGCTCCAAGACAAATAATGACTGCAGTTTAACACGGAGGAAAAGGAAATGCATCAATTGAGTTATTCCCCACCTGCAAGGATAAGATCAAAAGGGACCCATTATTTTATCTTTGATAGATAAGAAAAGTACTGAGTATCTCAACAAGGAAATGAAAGGATTTTTTCTTCTTCAGAACCCAATGATTACAATCAGCTGTGCAAGTGAAGATGTATGGGAGATGGATGTATGCAAGTACAAAGACAAATAGTGGTCACCATATCATCATGAATGAAGGACGGTCCCCGACCCCCCCGCGACCCGCGAGCCCGCGACGCCCGCGAGCACTCGCTGCATCAACAGGTTGTTCCATCAACAATCCCGGCCGGCCGGCCAGTCAGGGCGCACGCCCGCCAACATTTCATATGTTAGAAGGCTGAAATATTGACACGAAGTGGAAAGAGGAGGGGTAAAATCGGAATAATAAATGATAATCTGGGTTTTCATTTCGTTTCGATGTTTAGGTGGAAAGTAGTGGAAAGCTTAAGCAAGAGCTAAGCAGGGTGGGCGTCGGCGTCGGCTTAAAATGAGAAACAGTCTCTGGAAACTATCTCAACCTAAACTGTAAGAGTTAAAAACAAGAATGAGTGGATTGGCCCTTGATCATATGACACATTGTAACAGTGTCATTAGGAAACTGACTCAAAAAACCAACGACCCCTAACCTTTATACGGGATCCCACCCCATGAGAATAAAACACGCATAGAACTGATGTTTGGTGTAGGTCCGCTGGTTACCACCTCTTCCAGTTGCTCACACAACCAAATCGAGAATAAGATCTTGTATACTGAAGGAGGAACATGTTCAACGACAACATTACCTTCAAGGTGGACCCGATTAACATTCTTTCCCTAAGCAGCCGTGATTTTCTCTCTTTTTGAGACGAATATTCAAAACATGATTCGCTTTCCGCTATGACTTCACCCTCTCCCAACCAACATTGATCAATCAATACAAAATACAAGTCACATGGGTCGATATCCTGGGGCCCTTCGATAAATGGTTTTCCGTGAGAAAAACATATTACCAATCTTAGGCTTCTGCTGTGTATAGCGCTAAGCACAAATTCGAGTCCTTGCACCCATTATGCACATCATTCGTTCGCGTTTCTATGGTTCGCTGTTGGCAAAAGTAAAGCGCCACACATACTCCTCCTCCCCCCTCCCCTCCGTTGAAAGCCCGCGCTGCGAGACAACATAAACGCACACGCACTCACTTCCTCGACACACGCGCGCGCGCACCCACACACACCCTTATTCCCGACTGTGCAAAAAACACAAACAAAAAGAAAATGAAGAAAGAATCTGGAATAGCTATGAAACTTGGAAATATCCAAGACGTACCTTTGAGATATGTTTAAGCGACACAGAGTCTTTGAAGGTGTCTTTTTGCAAGACAGCAGCCACGCAATTTCTGAAAACACGGAGCTGCAGCGTGCACCTGTCGCTGTCGCATGTCGTGCTTCTTGTGCTGGAGCCTCTGGAGCCCGGAGCTGGACGGGGCCGCCTGACCAGACCGCGCACCGGCTCCAGCCGAGTCGCCGTAAGCACAGGTGTGGAGGCGGGGGCGAGAGGATTTTCCCGTATTCCCGGATTCTGGGTAGGGCGGGGGGAGGGGGGGGGGTCCTTGTTTGCCGAGAAAGATCCCCTCCGTTTGTTCCCGCCCGTTGGTCTTTTCACTAAAAATAGCTGGAATGGAAAGAAGAGCACATTTACGACCACCGATGATACTGGGAATGATAGTAACCCACCGGCTCCCGACTGTTGTAGCATGGAGTCAAGATGAATTCAGGGACCTCCGTTATACACGGTGGCTGATTAACCCCGCGCACTTCTTTAGTCACTGTGCCGCATTCCTCGCTCAGCTCGTAAGGCGCCGTGGACAGGGGCAAGTCGGCCCGCACTTCTACGTGCTCGTTCAGTGTTCCTGTGGGCTATGCATTTCGCGAGCTGGAAAACCCAGCAAAGCGAGCAAAGCGTGACCACATTGTGATCATGTCACACTACTTACGGTATTAAGCATGTGTTCCATATTCGCCTATTAAATAATATTGTTCACTTCATACTGTAAGTTTTCAACAAGATTTTATTTTCAACAATCATTTGATGTACACAATGATTTTTTTTTTGTTATGTTTAGGCTTTCCGATTTTTAAAACCATTTTTCAGGATTTTTCTGATGTTGCCTACATCTTGCACTACCATTAGAAAGTTTTCACAATTAAGGCTCAGGTTTTTTTTCCTTCTGTTGTAAACTAAGGAAGGTTTTAACACACACATCATTCCAATACTCTGACATTTGCATATATACAGTACACTGATTAAATTTCTTGGAAAAAAATTATGAGCATTTTTATACACTTCAAAAGAAAATGAAAGTCCCATTGAAATCAGGTGCGACCGCAAATAATAAAACTCGAATTTCATACAATATTAGGAAGTGAGCATCATTCACAAACATTACCTGTACAATAAGCAAAAAATCTTTGTATAGAGCACACATGAGCAATGACAGTATGCCTTTGTACAGGAAAATACAAATGAAAACACAATGCACAACACATTGTGCAATCTTATCATAACACAGTATAAACGTAAAGTATTTTGGCATTTATTTGGACCATTAACAAGAGTGAGCAATGTGTAAAAAATAAGATGCATTATAAAAATTTATTGGATAGGAAGCAATGCCTTTCAATCTGTGCCGTAAAATAATTACCAAATTAGGGAAATCAATCAGACTGTCTTTTTGGTACTCCCTTATCTTGATAAGGATGCCTCATGAAACTACACAATTTATTTCCAAGTGAGACGAACAAGATAAAAAGAGAGGATTGAAGAGGAGAGACCAAAGTCTAAAATCAAAACGTTCCAAGGAAGGATAAATGAAATACATTGAAAAATTGTTTTGGAAGTGTACTTCTTCTGTTTTATTTTGTGACTGTTTTAAATAGAAGGCATATTTTTCAAAGTTACATATAAATATGGTTCCTTTTGTGTATTGCCAATGATTTAATTTCCTTTACAGATAAGCCAAATCTTGAAGTCCTATAGGACACAGTGTCTTAAGCTTTTACTTTGGCACATTCGTCATAACCAACCAGCTCTCCCACAAAGTCACTCTCTTGCAGGAATAATTCTGCATTCATAACATTTCTTAGATATTCTTATCATAATGTTTGTTAGGCCAAGTAAACCCTTCATGGTAACAGAGGACAGAAGTGAATGAATGTTAATGTAATCATTATCCAACCTCCTCCCATCCAATTAGTAATATACATCGTACTTTTGACGGTGCTTGCTCACTGCTCAATCCATAACTAGTACACTAAAATACTTAGAAACATAACAAAAATGTGGATTTGAATCAAAAAATTACATTGTTGTGAAAATTACTGGTGCAGTATGTATCCCTTTGCTCTATTAATGATGGTCATGAACACAAAATATAAAACGCATTCTCTCACACTTAAACATACACTTATACACTGGTTTACCATTGCTTAGTCACTCTTCCAACTGTAGGGTAAGTGGCTAGCATGAGAAGAAAAACTCCAATAGTACTTTATAAGGTTTAAAATATTAGTTACTTTTCAAAAATTTTACATTCTTGTACAGTGAGTCAAATATGGGCTACATCATTGCTATGAGAAAGTTTCAAGAGATAGTTGTCCGTATTATTAAACTGCCATAATTAATTTAGAATTTGATAAAACTTGTATAAACAATACAGTATTAAATAGTATCCAAGTACAATTGCTCACAACAGTATTTCAAACAAATTGGGTTTTAAATGAAAAGATTGGTTTTCATTCAGTTGTACTGCTCTATTAACAATCCTATTCGGTATAGCATATAATATAGAGTACAAGTACAGTAGGTAGTTTTGATTTGGATGATAGTCTAATTGTACAGCATCGAAATAAGAAAGTCTAAAACCAGCTGCTCATAAGTATTTAAAAAAACATAAATAAATATGCAAAAAGTGTGACTCCACATAAAGTCAAGTTGGGTGCACACCACAAAACAAGTATATAGATTAGAAAGTTTCTCTTTGTCTTTAGGATCTCAACCTGGACTGGATAGCAGGGCAACAATCTCAATCTAAAAGTGGAATGTCTACAGAAATAGCCCCAGTTCTGAACCCGGAGCATAAACCATTACACTTAGGTAAACCCAATGGGAATAGTTTTCGTAAATCCCAGCACTAAACCATTTGGCACTGAGGCTAACTCTAGTAACAAAAGTTAATGAAGATATGAAAAGGATCAAGGGAATAAAATGGAAGGTAAAACTATCTGCCATACTCAAAGTTGCACACAAATTAAAGCAACATTGCAGGAAGTTTGTATTTATTTGAAAATTGACAGGCATAACATCTTCAGAATTTTGAGCCAAGATGCACACTCGGTTTTTCAGTAATCATGCAGTCCATTTTGTTCTAAGAAGAAGGTAGTCATTATTAAAACTAAGCTATATTTTGTCTATGTGTGTCCTCTCCCATTTAGAAATGATTTGGGTAATTACTTCATTTTAGAAAACAATACCTCATTTGCACTAAACTAGCTGCAGGCCTTTAGATTTGACATATGTACTAAAGGCCACTTGTTAAAGTCAGTTTCAAAAGAAACAAAGATTTCATTTTCTCCTATTTGTTGGCATGTCATTAAAGAGCAGCCTAGTTCCATAAATCTATCTAATAACATTTTGAATTACAAAAACACCTCTTACATGCACAAGTTTTAACTTACAGTCTTAACACTAGAGACTCCTCTTAAATAAGAATATCTACAGAAGAGTATATGGCTGTCAACTTGATAATATTATGACTAGCAGGATAATAAAAATGTAGAGATAAGATGATCATTTCCTGTCCATAGCATCGACATTGGACAGTTGAAAATTTTTGACCGACAGTCAATGAAAATACAAGTTATAGTTCAAATGGTCTATCACACATCTTTGCAGCACTTACAAGTGCAAAAACTTTCAAGTACTAACCAATTCCATAAGATGAAATTAAACAAGATTTCAAAAAGAAAAAAAATAAACATGAGAATTTGAAAACTTTTAAGTGCCTATTCAGGCCATTAAGGAGTAAATTTTGATTTTAATATACCCTGGCCCTCTAACTGAGGAAAGGGGAGGCTAATCAAATAGGCTAACGAAATAGTGATTTTCCTGATAAAAATCAATAAACTTGCCTTGGTCACAAATGCAAAATTTGCAGAAGGAAGTGTTTTAGCTTGCTTCTCCACCATTAAAAGGAAAAATAAATATACAAAATTGTAGACCGTCATGAGTACCATGGAACAACTGTAACATCGATTCATGAGGCAAAACACTGGATACACCAGATATAAGAGTCACAAAGATGCAATGCTACTATGGTACTAATATTACAGATTTACAGAGAGGCAAGAAAAATCACAGGTTTATTCACACTTTCCACATAATACCTATGCAGCCTTTGGTATAACAAAAATGCTGATAGTACACACAAAGAAAAAAAGCTACAGCTAGCTATACCACAATATTATCAATCTCATAATTCAACAAACTCTTCTCACACAAAAGAGTGTATCACACAAACCAATAAGAAAATGGGCAAAAAATAATGTTCTTAAAGCAATGGCAAAGGTATAGAGAGAAGTGTGACACAGCACTGAGAAGTAAGTGCCTGTGTCAATCTATCTGCACCAGGCAGACTAATCTCTTTTTTTATATATATTCAAAAGGTACATAACTGGCAGTGTAGTTTCCTCCTAAAGAAGGATACAGTACCGTTTTCCTAACATAACTGACTTACTGAGACAATTTCAAAGCCCACCTATCTCCAATTGGCCACATTCAAACACAACTTGCAAAGGTATATGGTAACATCTCTTGTTCACTCTCTTCTTTTCCCAATAGGCACAGTTATCCCCACAAATATATCAACTTAGAGCAAAAACAAAAGAGAGATCAACAGACTGTCCTAGAATGTATACAAGAACCTTTTACAACTCCGTAATCGCATAGCGGCTACGGTGTGTTCCATAATAAGTGGTGTCCCCCTGGCGATGCGCCACATGATGCTGCTGCTGCTGCGGCGGCGGCTGCTGCTGTTGTTGTTGCTGCTGCCTCTGCGGCTGCTGCTGCTGCTGATGTGCCCCGTACTGTGCTCCATCCACCGAGCGGTGCGTACCGTAGTGCCCCGCAGATGCGGCTGCGGCACCGTAGTCGCCGGCCGCGGCGCCCGCCGAGCGGTGGGTGCCGTAGTGGTCGACGGAGCGGTGCGTGCCGTAGTGCGGGTGGTGCGCCTGCTGGTGCTGCTGGTGCGTGCCGTAGTGGTGCATGTCCGCGGAGCGGTGCGTCCCGTAGTGGTCCACGTAGCGCTGGCCGTGGGCCTGCGCGCCGTAGTGGTCCGCGGCGCCGGCCGAGCGGTGCGTGCCGTAGTGGTCCACGGCGCCGGCCGAGCGGTGCGTCCCGTAGTGCTGCTGCGGGTGCTGCGCATGCAGGCCGGGCTGGGACGCCGCCTTGGACGCGGCCAAGCTGGGCATGGCGTCGCGCGCGTGCGCGTCACGCGTGGCCGTGGGGCCGACGGGGTCGTCCGCGGCGCTGGGCAGCGGCCCGGAGCCGGCCGAGGCGCCGCGGGACTGCGCGGCGCGCTGCTCGGCTCCGCTGGACACGAAGCTGACCGACGGCGGTCGCGGGATGGGCACAGCGGGGAGGGGGCGTCGCTCTAGGGTCTGGGCCCCGGAGCGGTGGGCGTTGCCTCAGTAAAAGTCAGAAGATTCAAGCGTCTTGCACTGTTTGCTCAGAGTCGCGTACTGCCCATGGTTGGGTCCTGGTAGGGTGTCGCTTCCGCCCGGATGAATGCCACCGTGCTGGGACTTTTCGTCGCGAAAGCCTCTCCCATCTCTGCAAAGCAAGGCAAACGGAAGCGACTGTTAATTACAGAGTAAGGAAACAGACCAGATGGGCGGCACACCCACCTGCCGAAAGATAAGTAACTCAAATAAATTATAATTGCACGTATTCAAATAAAAGTCAGGGCATCCTGAAGAATAGGCAAATAATGAAACTGTTTAATGACTACCAAACACTCATCACTACCACACTTTTCCTAAAAGCTCAAACTGTTAATACAGTACTTTGTAAAGCAGAAGCAAATAATTCTCACTTCAAAATAGTGAAACAGTAGTACAAAATAAAAAGTTATGGAAAATAAAATTAGCAAATGTAGTAGGTATACATAAAACATAATAAAAACTGACCAACAGCAGAGCACTTTTAGCATTTTTATGAAACCTTTTTACGCCATAAGGGCTAGTTATAATTGTAAAGCAACAGTTCTTTTTTTTAAATAATAAAAATAAGGAGTTTAGAACTCATGCAATTAACCAAAAGGTCTACTAGAATTTTAAAAAATCTTGTTAAGACTTTGAACTACCAGTAACTATTTTCAAACACAAAATGTTAATTAAGAAATGAGCAATACTTTTTTTACTGTTACATTACCACCATTAATACAAGATACATCCGCCAAGTCAGTATTTGTGATCCTCAAAAAATTCATTTTGCTGTAAATGACTCAAAATATGGGAATTGAATTTGTACTTGTAAAATCTTTGAATTCATGTGTACACATTCTTAGAATGAAGAATGTTTGGCATTGAGTAATTTAAAATGTAATTAAATGGTAGTAATACTACACATGCTTCTCGACACATACAGCAATTGCTGTGAGGCTGCGTGCAGCGCCCCATCATGCAGCATTTTATGCCGAAACAAGCCTGAGCTGCCATACGACCCTTGGCTTCGCAGAGTGCGTGCTGCAATGGCCTGGGATGCAGCTGTTGGTGGCAAATATGGGTCTTGTCCATCTACTTGTTGGTAATTTTTCCTGAAAGAACAGATAATGTGTTTTATAGCCAGAGGGAAAGAGAAAAAGAGCTCAAAGTATAGTAAGGTATAAGATTTGAGAACGTACCTATTGCCAAGATATATCCAAGTATGTGAATCAACCCAGAACAAAATTGTGAAACAAACACCGCACAGGGCACTTGCAAGCAGCATCAAACATAATCCGTACCTACAAAAACAGTTAGATATATAAAGTGACAGTAAAAAATAAACACACAATGAAAAGGAGATTTTTTTAAAAAAGTGACTTACAGTCCTTTGTGGCAGATACGACTGCTTGCCAAGTAATGAGGGTATATCACATTGCAATCAAGCTGCCGGTGGAGTTCTGGAACCATGAGAGTTAATTTATTCATTTGATCTCCAAGTTGGTTCATCTTATCCTTAGCATCAGGATATAGCTGATCTGAGATTTGGGTGGCTCGCTTATAGCTTTTGAATGCAGTATTAACTCCATCACGTGTTTGATTGAGGACCTGTCCCCATGGGTTAGAAGCACGTGGACATCTCATGTAATATTCAAGAACCCTTGCATCTTCAGGCACATGCACTAGACTCTCCAGGTACAAATCTGGCTGCATGCAATAATCTCCAATAGCCTGAAAACAGACAAAAAATGGATAATTAAGATGAAATACTAATATTTTTTTTGTATTGAGTATATAGTTAAAAATTAAAGGAAACAAAGATGACATACCACAGCTCCAATGAGATAAATTGATGCTTGAAGCCAGCATACAATAACAGCAAGCAAGCCACAAACCGAAAACCTGTTAGACATGAAGAAATTATTATGACATTTTAATCAAGATGTAATTTTTACTCAAAGTAACCAAGAAAAAGTAAACTTACGTTATCAATGTACACCTTGAGTATCGACACATGCCAATCAAAAGAATCAAACAAAACAGGACCAACAATCCCCACATTCCCATTGTGCCTATCCACCTATATATAAAAAAAAAAGAATTAGAAAAAGAAAATGAATGTTGCAAATCATGAGATAGGGCCCTTTCTCATGTGCAAACAAGAGTGTAAAATCCCCTGATAGAAAACCACCATTACCTTATAAGTTCAGCTCTACTCAACGTGTTCAGCCATCGAAATTTGAAAATGTTATGCATTGACTTATTGATGCTGGTAAATCTCTTGTAAATTTCATCACTGTCAACAAAATTTGCCAATGTGTCCATTTCTTTTCCAAGTTCCACTTGACGTGTATCTGTCATCTGTGATGGTGGCGTTCTGAACTTTGTCTGAAGTGGATCTAGTAGCTGTCGAGCTTCTGTTCTAATTTCCTTCAATCTTTCGGTCTGCAGAAAGACACATTTATTACTAACCAAAGCAAAAAAGGGGCGTCAGTGACACTCAAATCATGTTCAATATTACTTACCTTAATTTGCAGATCTCTAACAGTACTATCCATTCCCTTGAGACCATCCAACACTTGAACCATTTTCTCATGAATATCATGATTTCCATAAAGTGAGGCAGCAATTGCAGCCCTGAAGGCAGAGGAGAAAATATGATTAGAACTTTGACAATAATTTATGGATATTGCATTAAGGTATTCGAATTTCTACTAACCAAGTTAATAACACAATAAATACTATTGACACCCATTTGCAAGCAGTAATTGTTCGCTTTCGTCTAGGTTTCCGATCACAACACCTCGTCAAGAAGTACATCAAAAGTATTAAGAGTGTTAGTATTAGGCATGCTGCAGGAATGAATGCTAAAATACCCAATGACTGAAACAGAAAATAATTCATTACATTTTCCATTTTAATTCATTTTATAAAAATAAGGAAGGATTCCACACATCCATCTGATGTCACTGGAAAAATTCTACAAACCTCCAGATACAGCTCATTCTCTGGTGCAAACGTCGAATTTATAAACTGCAGACGAATGTTGAGATGGGGTAGATTGTGGAGCAACCTCGCCACGAAGGGCGCCTCGTAGTCACCAACCCCCATGCTGGCTTAACGGCCTTGAGCCACGCCAACGAGTCGGTCACACCAAATCAGTTCAAGCCATTCTGTAACAAATCGAAAAAAAGGGTCGTTAGTACGATGCGATTCCCTGGGCCAAAGACCGCATCGAGATACGGACGCTCACGCCCATACACCGGCAGGTCCGGTCTTGGAGAAGAGTGAACGAGGACATTTCACAGACGCCCCCAAAGGAGTCGTGCACCCCTCCGCCTTTCCCTCTGAAAGGTCTTTTTGGCTGACACCCAGGACTCGTCCGGGCCCCATTCCAAAAGGGGAGCGGGGGGCGGGATGTGGAGGGGGGGGGGTTACAAACAGAGCGCCTCATCCCCTGACTCGACAGTCTCTAGACAGGCCAGCTCCTCAGACGTGACGGCTGTCGGAAGCTTGTCTGTCTAGCCCGGAGCTGTGTACGGGGCGCGGCGGTCGCGCCGCTCCGCTATCTGGAGCCGGCCTGGAGGCCCTGGAGGCTGTCACGGGGCGCCGGCCGGACTCGCTCCTTCCCTTCGCCACCCCCTGGCCTGCGCCGCGGCGGCACACCGGTGGGGCCAGCGCCCTGGCCACGGGCCACCCCGCCCGGCTCACCCCGGCCGGCACGCGCGCGTGCAACGTCACGCTAGGTCCCACGCCCCGGCCC